CTCTTAAGGTAGTGGTTCCAAGCTCTTTGTTTTCAATCATAATATTTCACAGTTTTTCTTTCTATTTTAATCAGCAGGAGCCAGCCAGGGGTGGTAGCAACTCTTTATTTTCCACTGTGATGGATTATTAGTTCACTTTAAATGCTTTTTAATTTGTACATACACCCCTAGGCTTTTAAGTATTGAGATTCTTTGATTATTGTTGGAAATCAATTTGAACTCCACAAAATGCTCAATGAGTTGGACTTCAAAAGCTCATGGACCCTGTGGTTCTATTAACAAGGACCAAAATCCAAATGTTAAATCTAATAAGTTCTATAGCATTCATAGACCTTTAACTTTTTCCTGTTTTTTTTTTTTTTTTTTGAGTTGGTTGTGGGGCCTGAATTCTGGGCCTGGGCACTAGCTGTTTCTCAGCTCTTCAGCTCAAGGCTAGCACTCTATCACTGAGCCACAGCACCGCTTCTGGCCTTTTCTGCTTATGTAGTGCTGAGGAATTGAACCCAGGGCTTCATGCATGCAAGGCAAGCCCTCTCCCACTGAGCCACCTTCCCAGTCCAATTTCTTCCTTTTAAAAAAATCCACCAATTGCCTGGGTGCCAGTGGCTCATGCTTGTAATTTTAGCTACTCAAGAGGCTGAGATCTGAGGATGGTGGTTCAAAGGCAGCCTGGGCAGGAAAGTCCATCCATGAGACTCTTGTTGCCAATTAGCCACCAGAAAACGAAAAGTAGCGCAATCACCTTGAATTGAAGTGCTTAGGGATAGCACCCAGGCCCAGAGTTTAAGCCCCACAACCAAAAAAAAATAAAAATAAAAATCCACCAAAATGGTTGTTGATAGCTCATGCCTGTAATCCTTTGTACTTAGGAGCCTAAGATCCCAGTACTTTTCAGAGTCAGTCTGGGCAGGAAAGTCTGTGATATTTTTACCTCCAGTTAGCTTCCAGAAAACTGGAAGTGGTGTGTGGCTGCAAGTGGTAGAGCACTGGCATTGAACAAAAGAGTTCAGGAACAGCACCTAGGCCCCAGATTCAAGCCCCGCATTTGACTCCCCCTCCCCCACCAAACAAAAAACACTTTTAAACATTTTCCCTTAAAAGGAAGCAGCCCATACTAGTTGCTTCTTTTTTAGTCTCTGGCTCTCATCTTTTTTTTTTCTTCTTTCTGCAGGGTCATATGGGCCATGTCTTGGTTCTTGCACTTCACTTTTCTTTCCCTTACTCCTTGTTCCTTGTAGCTTGAACTGGACCAGTTATACAAGGTACAAGGAGGCAACTCTTTAAGAGGCCTGTGAATTCATTTTAAAGAGCTAGAGTGGCCTGATGAGTCTGTTGCAGCCAAGGCTAATATTGCTTGTGGTCCAGCTCCAGGCAGCCTATACTATTGGCTCATGTGGGAGACTTTTTTTTTTTTTAATAAAGTGAAGAGCCATCGTCGATAGGAATGAAAGTGTGTGCATAGTTGTGTGTTTGTGACATACATTTATACAAATTGCAAATGTTTATTTTGTAGAAGGCAGTCCTGAAAACTTACCGGAATTCGGCTTTGAAAATAGGCATAACTAGAAATCTCCTTGAAAAGTTTTAGGCTTCCTACAGAAAGAAGTGAGAAAAGAACTAATTCTACCCCAGGGAAATGTGTAATTTAGAAGCTTGTCTGCGTGCATAAGAAAACAGACTCTGGAGCTGCTCTGTACATGCAGAGAGGCAGCTGGGCTCATTGTTTCTCTTCTCCCTCACTGTTTGTGTAAGACCTGATGGGGCCAGTGCAGATGCTATCCCCACTGGGCAGTCATAGCTGCCAGCTTCCTGAGCACTGATTATTTCCCCTATCTTCCTTGATTTCTTAACCTAGCCCAGCATGCTTCTTGGGAATCCTGTCTTCAGCAGTGGAATACGAATATTAGAAAGGGCTGGGTGTTGGTGGCTCATGCCTGTAAATCCTAGCTACTCAGGAGGTTGAGATCTGAGAATGGCAGTTCAAAGCCAGCCCAGGCAGGAAAGTCTAGGAGACTCTTATCTCCAATTAACCACCAGAAAACTGAAAGTGGCACTGTGGCTCAAGTGGTAGAGTGCTCACCTTGAGCTGAAGAGCTGAGAGACAGCACCCAGGCCCAGAGTTTGAGCCCCACAACCAAAATAAATAAATAAATAAATACAACATTAGAAAGGTTGGAAGTATCTCGGGAAACCTCAAGGGGATGAGAGTGTACTTGGATCCTACCTGTAGCTAGTTAGCACCCATCAACATTGGTCTATCATAAGCTGTTTTGTTCATTCACTTCATCTACTAGTCAAAGTATGCTCAGGGTGTGATAACAAGGCCTCTGGATGTAAAGGTTTATGAGTCTTCCTTTCCTGTGGTCAGGCAAAGCTGATGGAATTATTCCCACCTCCATATCCTTTTTATTTCCGCAGTACTCATATTTTGAAGAACAGTGGTGCAGATTTGTCTGGTGGTAATACTATAATCCCAGCTACTCAGGAGGTGGAGGAAGGAGGATTGCCATTTTTGGCCAGCCTGGGGAAACATAGCAAGACTGCTGTCTCAAAAAAGCAAAATAGACAAGGACACGTGCACCTCCATGTTTATTGCAGCACTGTTCACAATAGCCAGGATATGGAAACAACCCAGATGCCCCACCACAGATGAATGGATCCAAAAATTGTGGTATCTATACACAATGGAATATCATGCAGCCATTAGAAATGACAAAATAATGGCATTTGCAGGGAAATGGATGGAGCTAGAAGAAATCATGTTGAGTGAGGTAAACCAAGAGCAAAGAGACAAACGGTACATGGTCTCCCTGTTAAGTGGATGTTAAATCCAAAATGTTAGGTGATACGACAAAATTAGCAGGACTTCAGAAACAAAGAACTTCTACTCATCTGGTCGGATCACTACTAAATATCCCCATGCTGCTGATCACATGTATGGTATATGTGTGTACACCAGAGGGGAACCAGGAAGACGACACAGAACTAGAGGGAATCTGGAAAAAAAATATAACAGCAGGACCCATCAGCTGCACTGGACATTGACCAAAATGAACTAAGCAACTCAATGGCAGCGATGGGAGGGAGGGAACAAGTGGGAAAGAGGGAACAGCTGATGCTATGCAAAACAAAAGAAATGTATGTATCACCCAATGTGGAAGAAATAACTTGTATCCCAAAGCTCATAGAACTCATAAATGTTATAAACCTTGATAGACAATTTGCTCCAGGAAAGTTAGAATGTGTTTGTGACTTTAACTGAACATCAGTATCCCACAATACTGTGAAATTTGGGAAATTATGTAACCACTTAATCACAATAAAAAATTTGAAAAAAAAAAAAGCAAAATACAAGCAAAAAGGCTGTGGAGGTGCAGCTCAAGTGGTAGAGAAGCAAGGCCCAGGGTTCATAAAGAATATATGAATCTGTGTGTGTGTGTGTGTGTGAGTGAAAGAGAGAGGGGGTTGGGGGGAGGGAGAGAAAGAAAGAGAAAAAGAGTATCATGAGGGAAAACATCATCCCCAGTTCCCTATAGGTAGGTGTGAATCCCTTTGGTAGTTAGACATCTCACATATATATGAGACTCAATGGATGGGAAGCCAGCTTGGCTCAGAGCTACAGAAGGACATGTTCTCACTGTTGGATAAAGGCTAATGCCCACTATCAACGGACTTATACTAGGCAGTAGCATTTGCCATTCAGACTGTACAGGAGTAGAGTGGCTGAATGCTGTGGTAGGAAAGGTGCCAGTGAGGTTTGGAGAAAGAAAGAAGACTGATTTATGGGCTTTCCCTTAAATGTCCAGATGAATCCCAGACATAATCCACCAAGTAAGATCGCATTTTGTTTGTCTCCCCTCAATCTCTCTATATAATTTCATCTGAAAAGCAGGATACGGGTGTTAATTAACACTCAGTATCTCCTGAGAGGGAGGCAAATGGGGCACCACCACCATTACTGATGTCTAGGGAATAGAAAGATGCCAGAGTCTCACAGGTTGAACCCTGGAAGGGCAGGTAGGCTCAGACTTTGTGGCTCACCTGCATATTTGGGGCTCACCTGCACATTTGCATACCCTGGGAGTCACTTCCACTTTCTCTGTGTCTTTGGTTCTCAGAGGAATAAAAGAACTAGCCCAACACTTGTGGCTCATGCCTGTAATCCTAGCTACTCAGGAAGCTGAGATCTGACGCTCACAGTGTGAAGCCAGGTAGGGCAGAAAAGTCCCTGAGCTTATCATCTCCAATAAACTATTCAGAAAAACAAAGCAGAAGTAGAACTCTGGCTGAAAAGGTAGAGCTCTAGCCTTGGTTGCAAAGAGGCTCAGAGACAGCTCCCAGGCCTTGAGTTCAAGCCATAAGACTGACAAAAAAAAAAAAAAGAAAAAAAAAACCAACAACCCAACAAGAATAAAAAGCTGAGGCTGCATGTGTGTGTGTGTGTGTGTGTGTGTGTGTGTGTGGAGGGGGGGTGCTGCTAGTATTCTGGGAGGAATAATGGGAAGCCTGCTGTTCGAAGATATTCTGGTATAATTCATGCCACTATAATTTTCAAAGGCAGGAGTTCTAATATGTTCTTAATTTCATTCATCAATATTTATTACTTAGGTTTACAAAGGGTCTCAATTCAGTGTCAGTTCTTACATCTTGTTAGTGCACCTTGATCAATGTCATCCCTCTTGTAATTCTCCATCTCTCCCAACCCCACCCATCTCCTCTCATTCATTGACTTTTTTCTGGGCACTTCTGAGCAAGGGATTGCAAAAGGAGTCACTTATCCCAAATGAGCCGGTTAGCCCTTAGGGACAGGACAGTGCTGTGTTGAGGCCAAGTCTCCAAAACAGCAAGTCGGGAATGGCTTCTTTCTCATTCATTGGACAACTTGGTCACAGGTGTGAGGAACAGAGAAAGGGGTTGTATCACTGCATATGTGGCCCTCTTACTTTCCCAGAATCCTTGCTCTACCAGCTAATGAGGTTTCCCTTATCTTGGCCCTTCAGGCTGCTGAGAACCAGCCCTAGACCTCTGCTTGAGGGTCCTTCTGCTGAAGACATCACCAGTGTGTGGAGCCTGCCCCACACCCACCCACTGCCAAACCACGGCCTTTACCTGTGTCTTTCGGTGTTTCCCGTGCGACCCATCCTGTGGGAGTGCTTCGTGGGCTGCCCCGGAGTTCACTCCACGCTCAGCGGCGCCAATGGTGAAGATGACAAGATCTAAGACTTTCCAGGCATATCTGCCATCCTGCCACCGGACCTACAGCTGCATCCATTGCAGAGCTCACTTGGCCAATCACGATGAACTAATCTCTAAGGTACTTGTCTCCTGCAGGCCTTTCTTCCCTACCCCTGGGGAGGGCACTAACGGTTCCTAGTATTACAGAGGTTTAGAAGCCCTCACAGAGACCCCATCTTTGGAACTCCATCTTTTGCACAAAGACGGCTGACCCACTCAACTGAGAAATATCTCCCAAGTTCTGCAGGGACAGATCATAGTTTAATTTATTTGGGAAATCAGATGTCATCTTTGGAAGCTTGGAGGGACTGGCAAGTTGCAGGCTAGAGAAAAGAGGGGCTAAGGAATAATTAGAACACACTGCCGTGGCTTAGGTTGCTAGATGAAGAGTCTTTTTGTTGAAAGGGGAGAGGAGAGTTGTTTTGTTTTTCAGTGCTGGGAATCAAACCTGGGGCTTTTCACATGCTAGGCAAGTGCTCTCCCACTGAGTTATACCCCCCCAATACTCCCAGAGAATTGATTAGTTAAGATGAGAGTTCCTGGCAAGCCCCTGGGCAAGCTGAGAAGCTGTGACATCACCAAAAGAGTGACCTTTGGGGGAGAAAATGGCCTGTTGAAAAGCCGACCCAATGGCTTTAGGGCTATGCGTGATTTAATAAGGAATGACATTTGATCATAGTCAGAAGAAAGAATGGAACAGTCTTCTCTGAGGAGCCTTGACAACTGCTTCTAAAGTTGGGGCTTGGGGGGGATTGTCCCAATTGTGTAACCCAGGAACTGAATCCTTCCAGTAGCATTCCTAGGGGAGCTACCTCTCCCCTAGCCCTAGATCTTAGAGGAGGACAAACAGGTTTTACTAGGCTGAGTGACAAAGAAACAAGGGCGACCTTTTTTCCCCCCCTTACACATCTTTCACCAGGACTTGGACTTAAAAGTGCCATTATGGTTTAAAAAAAAAAAAGCCCTTTCGCAGATCCAAACAAATGTTCCTGATCTATTTACAAGCACAAGCACTACTGGAAAAGACAACCTTGCTTTCATTGTCTGTGGTTTGGGAGCTTCAGCCAGAGAAGGATGAGGGCTCAATAGTTACAGAACACTACTGGCTAGCTACCTGGCTGGATAACCCATGTCTATGGTAGTTGAAATTCTCTAGATTGGGCCAGAGGATGGAATTCCTTGTTCTCAGTCTATTCTGGGGTATATAGTAATTGTTAGCCCGATGCCTGGATCCCTTAAATCCTGGCTGTACTTTTATGCTGTCCCACTTTCTCTTCTCTGCATTTCTGAAAATGGTTCTCCTTTATGCTATTTATACTTCAACTATCCTTTAGATACCTTTCTTTTTTTCCCTTTTTCTTTTTTTTTTTTTTGACAGTACTTGGTTTTGAACTCAGGGCTTTGTCCTTGCTACACAGGCACTGTACACCTTGGGTCACATTCCCAGCCCTTTCTGTATCAGCTAATTTGTCTAATCTCAAGTGTCTCTTGGATTTCTGGGGTAGCTCTTTGTCTGGAAGTTTGCATGTGTGTGAGAGGCTGTGGTACTGAGAAGAGCGCACCCAATTCTCTGGACACTGGATGTTTTTTGAAACCTCCAAAGACAGTGTTTGTATCTAGTGGGAAAACCAGGTAGCATAAGAAATTGTGATAATGCCAGTAGCTCATGCCTGTAATCCTAGCAACTCAGGAGGCTGAGATCTGGGTTTTGTGGTTCCAAGCCACAAGTCCTGGCAGAAAAGTCCTCAAGATGATGGATAAAATAGTAGAGCACTAGCCATGAGCCCAAAAGCCAAGTCAGAGTAAGACATCTTGAGTTCCAGCCCCAGAACCAATTACCACTCCCCACCCCACCCCAAATTGAGTTACTAGTAATCTGAAAATTAACATTCATGTCCTAAAAACTGCTTAAAGGCTATTCCACTTGGCCCCCACAAGAAATCTTTAAGAATGCAGCTAGCCATGTTTTATACCATTGGAGGAGCTGAGACTCATAAAAGTTGCCCAAGGATCTCAAATAGGAGGCTCAGAGAAGAAAGATTATTTCAAAAAATGAAATGGTTTGAGCTGGGCTTTGTAAGACTGGCAGAAGTGGAATATGTGTAGATGGTAATGGCCTTTCTTATATCTGACCCATTTGACTGGGTGTACAGGGCCTCTGATCTGGCTGGAGCTACACAGCAGAATATCACTTACTGCTTCTTCATGAGCTCTTTTCATATCCTTGAGTTGGTTGTGTTGTTGCTCATGGTAAGAGCTCAGTAAATGATTAAATGGATAGATGGGGCGTGAGACTCGAAGACAAGTAATGAGCAAAAAAGACTTCGTTGGCCTCATGTCCTCCTTTCTGCCCCATTTGGGGGCAGAAAGGCTCATTCACAAGTCTAGGCCAAAGTCAGCACAACTTTGATTTCATTGGCTACAGCCGGTGCACAGATGGGGTGCATTAGAGCTAGATGATTTAAGGAGTTGGGTGAAATGCCTGACTATGGGGAAAGAGTGAGGGAACTGTGGTTGGCATTGTACAAAGATTCCTTTATTTCACTCCACAGCCACCCCCGGCATTAAATAATCTATACATTCTTATGCAGGTCAACTTAATGGAAAGATCATCACCCTAGTTCCCTTCTTAGAAAATGGGCCTTTCTTTGCATCTCCCCTCCCCTTCTCCTGAAGAAAGTTCAAGGAGAGAATGTCCCTCCTGTTCTCCCCTCTTGACTTAATCTCCTGTGCCGGTTCAGAATCTGCACAGTGGGAGTTAAGATCTGGGCTGCCTCTAAAGATCATTGGAGCCCATACAGCAGTGCAATTAAACGATACTTTGTACTTGCAACAGGGCCTTTAGTCTGGAAAGCTCAGCATTTTGTTGGCAATTTTGTTTGTTTAAACAACTAGGGTCTATATTGATATGGTTTTAGAAAGAATCCTGTGCTCATTTTGCATGTACAGAGGCTTAGTTACCTCTAGTGGGCTATTCAACCCCTGAATCTGTCATTCATTAAATGGGGAAAGATAATGTTCTCTCTGTTTTTGTTGTTGTTGTTTTTTGGACGGTCATGGAGATTGAACTCTGGGCCTGGGTGCTGTCCCTCAGCTCTTCAGCTTAAGGCAAGTGCTCTACCACTTGAGACACAGTGCCACTTCCAGTTTTCTGAGTGGTTTGTTGGAGTCTCACAGTCTTTCCTGCCTGGGCTGGCTTTGAACCGTGCTTCTCAGATCTCAGCCTCCTGAGTAGCTAGGATTATAGGCGTGATCCACCGGCACCTAGCTGTTCTCTTGATGGTCTTCTTCTAAGTCCTTTAAGGATGGTAGTTGGTGTGTGCCATTGCATGTGGTTTATTCTGGCCTTTTTATAAGGACAATGTGAGCTACCATGAGAAAGATATCTTAGGAGAAAGATATTTCTCACTGGGGAAGGAGCTGGTTTTCTATATTGTGTTATTATAGGCTCAGATGAGATCATGGATATGTGGGTGGTTTGCAAATTACAAAGCTCTGTGCAAATCTAAAGTAGTTCAATTGCTTCTCTTGTCCTTATTGTCCAAAAATGCAAAGGGAGGAATAGGTCTAAGGGTATTATTCCTGCTGGTACTAAATAGGTTTAAATTAGCCATGATAGTTGATAGTTTTGCATTGGAACGTGAAGCCTAAGTATTGGAAATGAAAAAAGGGCAGTGGGCAGTAGGAAAGCCGGTGTGTATAGAAAGCAACACAGGCTTTTCTGGTGTGGTGTGTGTGTGTGTGTGTGTGTGTGTGTGTGTGTGTGGAGGGGGGGTGCTGCTAGTATTCTGGGAGGAATAATGGGAAGCCTGCTGTTCGAAGATATTCTGGTATAATTCATGCCACTATAATTTTCAAAGGCAGGAGTTCTAATATGTTCTTAATTTCATTCATCAATATTTATTACTTAGGTTTACAAAGGGTCTCAATTCAGTGTCAGTTCTTACATCTTGTTAGTGCACCTTGATCAATGTCATCCCTCTTGTAATTCTCCATCTCTCCCAACCCCACCCATCTCCTCTCATTCATTGACTTTTTTCTGGGCACTTCTGAGCAAGGGATTGCAAAAGGAGTCACTTATCCCAAATGAGCCGGTTAGCCCTTAGGGACAGGACAGTGCTGTGTTGAGGCCAAGTCTCCAAAACAGCAAGTCGGGAATGGCTTCTTTCTCATTCATTGGACAACTTGGTCACAGGTGTGAGGAACAGAGAAAGGGGTTGTATCACTGCATATGTGGCCCTCTTACTTTCCCAGAATCCTTGCTCTACCA